TTTAGCGAAGTTCTTTCCCGGCCAGAGCCCGTTATATACCTTGCCTCCTCAGCGTGTGCGTATAAAACTTTCAGACGAGGAGGAACCGGATGCTTCATGCAGATATCTATACACTTATCCCGTCGACCTTTTTCCGCAGCCGGCTACTGGCGAACCGCGTTACAGCTGCTTTATAAGACTTCATTGCTGAAATGCATCTTCCGTATACGTACACGTTGAGTTTCCGAGCGTCTTAATCAGAGTATCTCAATCGAATTTTCCGCCGAATTTTTCTTATATTTTAGAAATGCTTTTACGTGCATTTTGGATCTTCGACGAATCTGTAATAATTTTCTGAGCTGGAAAAGATGCATTTACTTTATATAATAACATTATTTTTTACATTAAAAGAAGAACTTTTTTCAATGCTCAAAAACTTCAGTTTTCATAATTTACCTCTTTTAATCAATCTTTATATCAGACTTGTAATAAGCTTGAAGATCAAGGTATCTTCACACCTCATCGTTAATAATCGCTGCCTAATCGACATTGAATTTTCGTGTATCATATTACGACCTCAAATCCGGAGCAGTTTTAGAAAGTAGTGCGTGTGCTAGTGAGAAAAATATCGAGAAAGTCGAAGGAATTATTGTTCACCGCGTACAAAGACGAATAGGAAAAATAGTTGGGAAACGGGCCGAGCAAGTTTGCCAATTTCTCGGTGCGATTGAGTCGACGGATGTGCTCAGCAAGACGTGAGTAAGCCGCTTTATTACCAACCGAGCGCAAGTTAAGTCCGCTTTTCAGACCGCTCGAATCTTTCTCCAAGTATCGATTAACTACTCGACTGGTGAGGCTTAAAACACGGCCTTGAACAACGGACACACGGACTATTTTCCTCGTATTAAATAAAAAGCGAACGAATGGTGTAATTGATATCTACTAAATTATCTTGTACATACTGTAAATGGACTTGAGGTTTTTTATCTTAAAAACTGAAGACGAGAAGATTCATACGTTCTTCATAAGTTGAGTTAGGATTAAATTGAAGGTCTTTGCGAATATCTCTGAAATTAAAGCCGAACGGTGGTTTGATGTTCAGTAAGAATTTCTTCAGAATGACGTCCTTGATAATATATTTCAAGCTCATTAACATGGATGAAGCATATTATGTACAATTACCGTATAACAGGAGAGTAACAGACACGAGCGTGTCTATATCCCGTTTAATTTAAAGGCCCGATCGATGAGAGTGGATCGACATCCCCGAACGGGACGTGATAATTCAGTGAACAGTCGAAAGACAGAAAGGGTCAGAGAAAATGGTGGAAGAGGTGAAGCGTCAACGACACGCTGGAATTCGAAGCATTCGTCGAACGGGAGCATCCGTGGCAGCCGATGAAAGGAGAAACTTGGATCGTTTATCACGCTCGTTTCGAGGCTCCGAAGTTTCGTCCAAGTTAAACTGTTTGGACGAACATGAGGCACGCGGATTATGGATCCAAATCGTCGATTGTTATCGTTCGGCCAAGTTTCCGTGCTTCAATCCTGCATCTTTGAGCAAACGCTTCGTGACCGTGCGGTTCTTCGTGGCATTCAAACTCACGCTAACGTCCCTAAGAAAACGAGGACCTTGCGCCATCATCTCGGACACGGCATTCTAGTACTTCTTCTTCGACTCCTCATTTCCCCTCCATTACCCCGAGACTAGCTGTTCCCGCGCTTATTCCCGTGAACATCTCGGGTTTTTGAAGTTATCGTCGAGCTCTTGTGCTCCGTGCATTGGACGTCGAAATACTCGATCGTTCGACGAACAGCTCCTTTTGCTTCTTCCAGGAGAGCAGGTCCTTTGCTTCGTTCCTTGACGCTTGTTAGAGTTCGTCGTTTATGAATCGCGGACTCCGGGGACCGTTCGAGATGCTTAATTAATGTCGTGTTTTGTCGCAGCGGCGATTTATTATTCTTTCGAAGCTCGATAAAGTTGAGCGAAGTGAAATCCTTTGTGACGAAAGAGATTATGATTCTGAAAGATAGGGAGAATTGACTAATGGTTCTGGGGATACTAATAACTCTAGCAATGATCGTGGCGGGAAATTTTGAAACTTGCAAATGAATAAGTGATACATATTACTACTTGAAAAGATTGCGGGACTTAGTTTATGGTTAATTAAGCGTGATTTATGATCGTTACGCGGACAGTTGCATTATTTATGTCCTTCTAGTACTTCGTTAGTAATGCACTTTATTTGCATCCTTAGTTTCGGAACCTTTTTTTTTCGTCACTTTTGTCGTTTGCATATTAGCAAATAGTTTCGTCGTAAAAAACACAGTTCCGTAGCTGTTCCTTGATACCGGCGGAAAGAAATCTGCACAGTAGGTCGAACAATTAATCAAATTACGGAAGAGGCACGACGTCAGTTCTGAATATTCAGCGTTTGTCGGCAACGCGTTAAAAACACCGTCGTATATTCGTTTAATCAGTTAATGAATTTCTTCACGCACGAGAAACGGTCAATCGATATCGTTCATACTTTCCGTAAAATTTCTGCGAATTGCAATTACATTTTCTCCGGTCAGTTAATAAAATTCGATGAACTCAAATTTTCCTGAAAGAGAGCAAATACTTCTCTTAGTTGCTCTGATTTCTCGTTTACCTAGTAGTTTATTTATTTTAGAAATTCGCTTTTAAATCAAGTTCTTTTCCAATGGAGTTGCAATTTTATGAAGATGAGCAATAATTTCGATGATAGATTGAATTTGATCGAGGTTTAATTACTGTTGCCGGTTTATACGCCGATTAATTTATTAGCAATTACGGGCCATTTACATAATTTCATGCCGGTATGTTTAATAAGGAAATATCATTGTTTATGCTAACGATTCGGTTCTGGCAAACGCGGACGCGTTGCTGCAGTAATTTTTACAATGATCTAATTGGTTTCTGAATATTGAAAATTCGATTGCGTAGACTTGGCTAGGTATTTGGTGTACTTCTTTTGGAAATTTGGGGATTTGGGATTTGGGGATTTGGGGATTTGAGGATTTGAGAATTTGGAAGTTTAGGGATTTGGGGATTTGGAGATTTAGGGATTTGGAGATTTAGGAATTTGGGGATTTAGGGATTTGGAGATTTAGGGATTTGGAGATTTAGGGATTTGGAGATTTAGGGATTTGGAGATTTAGGGATTTGGAGATTTAGGGATTTGGAGATTTAGGGATTTGGAGATTTAGGGATTTGGAGATTTAGGGATTTGGAGATTTAGGGATTTGGAGATTTAGGGATTTGGAGATTTAGGGATTTGGAGATTTAGGGATTTGGAGATTTAGGGATTTGGAGATTTAGGGATTTGGAGATTTAGGGATTTGGAGATTTAGGGATTTGGAGATTTAGGGATTTGGAGATTTAGGGATTTGGAGATTTAGGGATTTGGAGATTTAGGGATTTGGAGATTTAGGGATTTGGAGATTTAGGGATTTGGAGATTTAGGGATTTGGAGATTTAGGGATTTGGAGATTTAGGGATTTGGAGATTTAGGGATTTGGAGATTTAGGGATTTGGAGATTTAGGGATTTGGAGATTTAGGGATTTGGAGATTTTGGGATTTGGAGATTTGAAGATTTGAAGATTTGAAGATTTGAAGATTTGGAGATTTGGGGACTTGGCAATAGGTGATTTGGGAATAGGCGATTTGGGAATTTGGGGATTTAGGGATTTGGAGATTTAGGGATTTGGAGATTTTGGGATTTGGGATTAGGAAATTTGGTAATGTAAAATTTCGGGAATATAAGGATCGAGATTGGGGGATTTGGCAATAGGTGATTTGGGAATAGACGATTTGGGAATTTGTGAATTTGGACATTTAGGGATTTGAGAATGTAGGAATTTAGAAATGTAAAAACTTAAAAAAGCAGGGTTTCGGGAATTGAGAGATTTGGAGATTTAAAAAATCAGGGATTTGAGGATCTGAGGATATGAGAATTTGAAGATTTGAGGGTTTGAAAATTGTGAGATACTAAATTTTGAGCTACTTTAGAATAAATATTCTAAAAATTTTGAAACCCTAAATCATCGAAATTAATTTGAAACCTTGCAACATATTAAAAAATTTCAACCCCTAAATGCTCTAAATCTCGATTCTAACTATAAGACCTAGGAAAGAATCCGAAGGAGACCCTTATCAAGTATCCCCGACAAATGACGAAGAAAAATGATAGAGTCCCGGAAAGCGTATCGCGGAGCAGTGAATCGAAATAACTCGTCGATCGTTTCGATCTTAATTACACGATCTGGTATTTATCTGGTAGAATTCACGCGCTATCTAGCTGGTAATTAAGCGGTCGGCGAAGAGCGTCGAGAAGCTATTAACTCGGGCGGGCATCGAGGCAAGGGCCTCGGATTGTTGCTATACTTTCTCGCGATAATGGTGAATTAATAGAGAAGCAGTTAGGGGAGGGCTGGTGGGAAAAGTTCCCGATATCCGTCGTCGTCGACGTCGCGGAAAGCAGGACCACGAGACGGTAGACGGTTAATTAAGGAAACCGTTAACTGGGAAGACCGACTTATCTGCGACGATTGGCTGCTAAGTTACCCAACGGAGCAAATGTTTCAGAGTTTCAATCAGCTTCCTACTTCCCCGTTCTCTTCTGGCCGCGGCGTGGAATAGCTACTTTGCAGTCGTAGCCATAAGACGCTCTTGAATGCGATTATAATAAATTCTTCGCTGAAAGTTGCCGAAGCGCTCGAATCCGCTTTCGATAATAATGGCCGAAGCAGGAAAGGATTCACGACGTTGCCAACCGCCCTACCAAGCGTGTTCCACTTTCCAACCTTCGACGTTCAGATTTACATGACAAACAGACTTCGAGACGTATTCTTTCCGATATATATTCTTTGTTTCCGCTGTTTTCTTTTTATATCGTCCTTAATAGCTTCGGTTACTTCCACCGTTGATACCAACTTATGTACCCACAACGCTAATATGTCTTTGATGGCTACTTAACCTGTGGATTTCGTGTTTCAGGTTGCCTCATAGGATTCAGCAGAGACTACATGCAGGTACATTCTTTTCTTTTATATTCGCTGAATCTATTTTTTAATTATTTAAAAGCGTTCAAACAAAAGTTACGATACCAGAATATACAAAGTTTCCCTTCTTTGTTGTTGCAACTCAGTGTACGTATAAAAATTCGATACGTAAAAATAGGGAGCAGTGTCAGTTTGCAAATAAACCGGTATCGCAAGAACTGAATATCGTATGATTATTCTCCGTTCGCAATCGCGATCGCGTTGAATATTTCCATCGTTCGCCGAAATGCAATTCCCTTGCGATCAGTGATTTCGAAAAATACGCTTTCACGTGAAATTACTGAAACGTTAGCCGATGAACCCGCGTCGTTTTTTATTTCCACCGGAATATTCGCAAAGCGCCGAAAGCTATCGGTATCGAACTCGAGTTACCGACGAGGTAAGAATCGAACGAAAGAAAAACAGCAGGAAAAAGAAGAAAAATTATTTGCGGGCTGGTTTGATAGCAGCTGCAGGGAAACGAGGTCGTCATCGCCGTGCCCTATTGAATTTTCGTATCAAAATAGAAAAGAATTGTCTGTATCGTTGGGCTAACGATGCAGCAGCCATCGTTGTCGCAGTATAACCCCCGGGATTTAACAAGAGAATATTTTCTTCACGCTCTCCTCGAGACACAAATCATCGCCGGAACGGGAAGGGCGAAATCGTATTTTTCCTCGGACATATTTCCAAGGAGTTTAATTAAACGTTATTCGATGAAATTTCGCTGAAACGTTTGGCCAGGGATGTGTAATTGAATTGGAACCGGAAATCGTTCGACTACTCTTTACTGCTGCCAGTATTTTAGACTTTTCAATTATTAACGCCCTGACGAAGGCACGTTTCGGAAGATCTATAAGCTTTATACCTTCATCCACCGTTTTACGGCTAAAAGCAGTCTGCTGGTACCATTATATTTGAAAGCTCGCATTATCGTATTACATAATTATTAATTTACTAATTATATTATTCCTCGCGCATACTCAAAATAAAACTAGCCTGTCCACCTCTGGCAACGTATTTTAAAGTCATTGAGCTCGATGAAAAATACTTTGAAATATTTCCAATATTTTGTACAGACCATACAGAAAAATATGGCGCAGAATGATGACCTCACTTGTAGTTCTCAATAAACATAAAACGGTATGCATCGAAATGAATTGTCAATAAACATAAAACGTTATGCATCGACGAAATGAATGAACATAATGTCTGAACCGATCGCTGTTTACTGCAGCGCTCCCTAATGGTAGCGTCGCGAACCATCATAATTTCTAGGTTATAACCCTAATAAGCTGAACAGACTTTTCCCATGATCTCAACGATCACATGTTCTTCCATGTTTTCTCGGTCAACAGCGGTCGACACATAATCGCAGGAGGTAGAGTGTGTACGGTAATCTCTAGAGTGCATTTAGGGTAATAATCTTTCAAAGAGTCGTACGACCAAATATTCTTATATCATTCGTGCAGAAGATATAACTTTTTATGACTATATGAATATGAAATTTAAAGTCATTGTCCAAATTTTCTTATATGATTAGTGTGCAAGATATAACTCCATATGCCTACATGAATATGAAATTCAAGGTCACTTATCAAATTTTGTTATATGATTCACAAGATATAACTGCATATGCCTATATAAATATGAAAATCAAGGACACCAACCAAATTTTCTTACATGATTCGTGCAACAAGATATACCTGCATACGACTGTATAAACGCGAAATTGAAGGTCACCGAAATCGTTGAGGTGTTCTCTGTGTATAACCCGCAAACGTGTTCATTGTGTCTCAGTTCAGTATCTTGGTGAATTCTAGTTGCTCCGCGGTGGTAAACAATGCCCGGAGCCGTTTCACGGGTCAAGGAGCCGCGAATCGGCCAGGTGAGCACGTGCTCGAGGGAGTCACGTTTTCACACATGGGGCAACACATTCATCATAAAAAGCTCGTTACGGCACCACTTGTTGTCCGAGCCTCGAGCCTTTCGACGTGTCTACCGTGCTACGAGAATCTAGCGCCAGAGTGGCGTCGTTTTCTCCATGGCAAATTGAGGATAAAATTGCCCGAGGTGGATCTGTATCCTCGTTCCACATCGCGCCTCATCCTAAACGCTTTTAAGAGACAATCTCTTCATTTTTTGTTTGTTTTGAGTTCATTCGATATGCCACGAAAAACGGGTTAAGGTTGCTCAAGGCCAGTTTGGAGGTTCTTGGGAAATTAGAAAGACTTGGGAATTTACGGAGTTGGGATATTTAAGTTAAGTTGGGAGTTAAGGTTTTGGGAATGTCTTTGGGAATTTGGGAAGTTGGAAATTTAGGTCCTTGGGAATGTAGGAATTTGGAAGTGTGGGTTTTTGCGAATTTACGACTTAGAGAATGTAGGACCTTGGAAATTTAAGAATTAGAGAATGTAGGACCTTGGAAATTTAGGTCCTAGAAAATTTAGGAATACAGAAATGTGGGTCCTCGCGAATTTATGAATTGGAAAATGTAGGACCTTGGAAATTTAGGTCCTTGAGAATTTAGGAATTTGGAAATGTGGGTCCCTGCGAATTTACGAATTAGAAAATGTAGGACCTTGGAAATTTAGACCCTTGAGAATTTAGGAATTTGGAAATGTGAGTCCTTGTGAATTTACGAACCAAAGAATGTAGAACCTTGTAAAGTTTACTCCTTGAAAATTTACAAATTTAAAAATCTAAAATTAAAAACTTCAGAAACTTGCAAATTTTCACACTTCAATAATTTGCTAAACTACAATAAATTGTCATTTTATACGGCACACTCTGAAAATATCTGTTCTGTTTCTATTCCATACCGCAGAGAAAATCAAGTAACATTGTTACGGAAGAACCGGACCGATCGATAAAGGTGTTTTAATTGCCCGCTTCGAACGCGCGTTCTCAAAAATCGCTAGAATATGGATTTTCCGTGTGAATTTAGATAATTGAAAAACGAATGGCGTTAAGTTCATAAAAGTGCAGAATATCGGCGGGAACTGTATCCATGAATATAAATTCCCATGAATATAAATCGTTTTCACGACCATAAATTTGTGATGAATGAATACAAATTTCCTGTCGATGATACCTTTATGATGTCTATTGATATTTTTGTATACATGTATTCTGGCTGGCTGTTTTCAAAGTTCTTTAACGACTGCTGCTTTATTGTAGCCTATATGGAATCAATTGATATTCATGCTCTCAAAAATGTACAACCACTAAAAGATCACTTTACTTTTCTTATTCAATAATTTTGCCGTTTATTATAAGACAGCAAATACGAAACTTCATAAATAATTTTCAGGCTCACTTATCTTCTATTTCAGTATCTTTTATTATTTAAGTATTTTAGCTTCTTATTATTTTGAAAATTAATTCTGATACTTTTTGAACGGAAGTGTACTCTTGCGAAACTTTCAAAGCCACGATCACGATCCGCTTTATCAATCGTTTCTTCCTTTTTCAATGGCCATCCGTTTGAACACCGTTCAACTTTTGACCAACGATTTTCACTTCTTCAAAGCGTTTCTCTACACCGAGAAACTAGTAGATCGATACCTCCATGACGTTCGTTAAACATAATCGTGTAAATAATGCGCCAGCGGGTAAATAACGTATCGCACGATAATTATAGTTATTAATATCCCTTGCAAATAAACGCACTGGCAATCGGGACATCATTCGTTCCAGGCCAGGGGGAAGAGGAGGTTGACGAGGAAATGGTCCTTCACTCTATGACGGTTGTATTGATTTATCTTGTGTCCTTTCAAACGAAAGGCGAATGTGCATAGGCTAGAATTAATCGTATAGACTGAATCAATTCCAATTTGCAAATTGATTCATCCTGAAACACGTTCAACGGAAGAAACGATGTGATCTTGGCGGGAAACGTTCGCTTTAGCCCTGGACGCGGTGAATTATCGAGCTGCTATTAAATATACTATACTAATATATTACACTATCACAATAAATTGATATACATTAAAAAATTATAAGTTTACAAAATTATAATTTTATAAATTATAATACAAAATTTTTTTAAATTGCAAATATTAATAAAATGAAAATGTTTGAATGTTTAAATGGAATAAAGTCTTCTGGATGACTCCGTATCGGTATCAAAAGTTTCTGCTCAGCACAGTAAAGTGCAATATACCGAGGTCGAAAGGGTTAAAGATGGAAATTCAAGACGGGAGCGTCTAGAACGATATCGAGTTCGGCTCGACGTAAGATCACGAAGGGTTAAGATCGATCGTTGTCTCGAAAAGGAGGGACAAAGCGTGCTCCGGGAGATAATCGCGTCGCGTGTCGAGATCGATGTTCGCGTTTCACGGGGGGGTAAAAAAATTCAACTCTCACGCGAAACCGCACGCACGAACGGACAAATATCCGGTCGACGTACCGTTGCACGGGCCGTTGCTTCGCGGTATAACGCGATGAACTTTCGAACTCGATTCGAAACCGAGATCGACTGCCTTTCAAGTCGGATTTATCAACGCGTGAACCCGTTTGTCGACGCCCGATGCGTTTCTAAATCCCCTGCGGGGAGAGAATCGGTTATTTCTATCGTCGACCATGCCGCTTGTTTTGCTCTAATCTCCGTTTTAATCGCGGCTCGCGTTTTCGTGTTTGCGGTTTTCCGTTTCGCTCGAACGACCAGTTATCCGCGGCATCGTTACAGCTAAAAATATTCCCTAGCACTGACAGATTTCATTAACCCTCTAACCATTTTTCATTATTTCATTAAAGTCAAATTAACCCTTGTACTCCTTCACTTAAATAATTTTCTGTGTTATCAAATTTGATAAGTGTCCCAATAATAAGACTTCTGAATGATGACGTATACGTATATGGAATATATCATGGTAGTATAATATTAAGTAATTTTTTAATCTATTATTCAAGCGCTATCGAGCGTGATAAGCGAACCGATAAGACTTTTGAGCGTTGGTGTACATGGTCATGGCAGCACTTGTGTTTTT